GTGACTCAAACTTGTGTGCTGGGTGAAGCACCCGTTGTGATTGTGAAAGCTAGAATTCAATTTGAACTCAGGTTGTTTATGGGGGTAGGGGGGAAAGCAGTTGCATAGAGTATAGCTCTGTAGTGGAATATGTCTTCTGTAAAACTAGGCTGTTAACCTTTGATTGTAAACTAGCTGTATTTCCCAGTGAAATAAAATTTTGAAAGAAAGAAAGGATTCTCCAGGATTCATAGATTCATGGTTTTCTCCACCTTTGAAATGCAGGCATTTTAGTTTTTACATGCTCTATAGATCCATCTTGTTCATTATATATATAATCCACCATCAAAAAAAAGTAATCAGACAATTTTGAATATTGTTTTGCACCAGATGAACAATGAGGAAATTCGGAGCTATACGTATGTGCAGAAGGTTACTACCTATGGTTTACAGTTCAACTTTAATTGGGGGGAAAATGAATGCTTATTGTAATGGAGTTAATTTTATTAATAAATTATACACTATGAAACTGCCATTGGGCTACTGTAGATTTGTATCCTTGATGAATCTGGGGTTTCCATCAGGCTGAACATACACTGTATATTTTGCAATAGTTACCTCAAGGCCTACTGACCAAATCGTTGTGTTGAGATTATATTTAACTTTTTGCCGAATAAAGTATATTGATTCTTTTGTATTTTTTGCGGGTCAGCTCTTTGCTCCTTCTTCTCTAGGGCAGGCGAAGCTGGGCTGGGTAAAGTCTCTGGGTGGGTACTGGCTGGGGTGGAGGACAGAAGCTCAACTTTGCCTCTGGCAGGCTTTCGGAGAGGGAACCTGGAGCCAGAACCTGGTGCAATCAGCTCTGGGCGGGCCTCAGCGCTTCCAACCAGGCCCGCTGCCTGGCTGCACAAGCAGCAGAGGCCCAGCTCCCCTCTCCCTTGCAGGAAAGCCGGGATGCTTCTGCAGAGTTGGTCTGGGGTCCTGGGTATCACTGGCCAGTAGCCAGAAAAAGCCATTCTTTTATCTTGTCGCCCCAAGAAATCCCCCAAATCCGGGTACACGGAGACTCCTGGGGCCTTCCCTGGAAGGTGGGGGTGGGGGCAGGAGCAAGAGCTGAGGGTCCGCCTCCTGTGGCTTTTCCGAGGAGGGAACCAGGAGCCCGACTGCCCCAATGTGGCCGCCTAGACAGACACTGGGGTCTATCAGGGGACTGAAGGCTTGATCCCGCACCTCCGCGTCCGGTCGGGCTGGCCGCGGGTATTCTGGGTGCTGCAGTGCGCACCCTCCCGAGCACAAGTCTTGGCAGAAGCAGGGCCTAGGCAACCGAGGAGCCTAAAGCGCCATAAAAGAAAATGAGGGCTGTTACCGTTTATGGGGTGTAAAGGGCTGCAGGGGGAACGGCCACAACTTCGGAGGCCCGAGCGCCTCCTGGATGTGGCCAGCGTCTCCCCCCTTTTTCTTTTCTCACTGCCCCTCCCCCCACTTCTGCAAAGTTCTGTGTTCCGACGCATAAAAAGGGAACCAGGTTGCTGGAGGATGCAGCGTCCGCTCACACCCCTACCCCCACCCCGCCGCCAGGCTGGGACGCCCTCTGTTCTTGCAGACAGAAGGAACTTCAAAGAATGGGTAGTAAGGGTGTGCCATAAAGGCCAGGTCTGCGAACTGTCTGGAATTCGGCCCTTAATGAGTTTATAACTGTCCAGCCCCAATTAAGATTTTCCACCAAAGCCCTTTCATTTGTTTGCTCTGTCTGCCGCCGATAAAGCGGCTGCGGAAACAGCTCTCTTTTATGGGCACTGCCCTCTCGGAAGCGTAGATTCCAGGTTCCACGCAGACGCCTCCACCCCCTCCCGGGGACTGGGTTCTCGCGGCGCTTTGGGAGTGGGACACCCGGCCCGCTGCGGCAGCTGTTGAAAGTTCAGGCCCTGTTGCTGAGGCTGCAGTATCTATGTATGGCCAGCAGATGGCAGTGTGGCTCCACGCAAGAGGCGCCAGCGCCGCCATCTCCAGCCGCCGCAACTCTGGGAGTTCCTAAAATGTCGACTTGACGCGAGTCTTTCTGGAATGGGAGCCCCAGGTTTAAGTTAATCGTGGTCGTATATTTTCGGTGCTGCCCTCGTTAGGCCTAAGGGCTCGCCGGGAAACCAGGGAGCGGGGAGGGCTCGCCTCACCTGCCCCGCTCCCGTTCCCTCTCCCGCATCCCCTAGTGCCTAGCGCTGAGGGCTGCCTCTGTCGCTTGGCTGCGGAGATGTAGCTCCAGCACGGGGACAGCTGTAGGGTCACCGTCCCCGCCTCAGGACAGTCCTTGGGGCAGCGCTACTCGCGGAGAACCTGGCTGACTAGCGGACAGACACAAAAACTAAGGCCTACAGCCCCGGGACCTGGTGACCCCCAGAGGGCCCTGCGGCGGCCCGAGAGACCCCTGAACACTGCGCTCCGGTACGAGGTTGGAAAAGCCAGCACCCGCAGGACAGACAGGACCCCGGGACCGGGCCGACTTGAATGTGTGACAATAAAATTAGGCGGCTGAAAACTGGACGTAAAGCATTGTTGGTGACTGTCTAGTGTGGGTCTGAAGGCTGAATTGCCCAGGATGGGGAATCCCTGGGGACAGACCAGGAATTGCTTTGGTTTTTGTAAAATCAATATTTATAAATATATTTCAAATAATTACAGCATCCTACTTCCAGAAGAGGAGCTCACGTCGTGAAAGCAGCACTTGCTTTCTCTCAGCCGCCGAATTTCCTCAGCAGTGGAGGTGCTGGGGCTATCCTGGTCCCCTGCTCAATAGGAGGGGGAGCCTGATTCAGGCCCAGCCTATCCCCGACCCTGGGCCGGGAGCCCGTTCCGGCGCCTTCCAGGAGCATGGGCGTGAGAATCTGTCCCGGGTGTAGAATAGTTTCAGAGGCAGAACGCAAAAGCAAACAGAGAACCCTGCCAGGCACTCCGGAGCCCTGTGAACACGCTACGCGGTGCGTTTATTTGGGTTGTAATAGTCTCCGCCAAGCTCACAAAATGTTTACAACCTGCATCTCCAGGCTGTGCACGCTGTAAAACTAGGGACTGCATTTGGCTGACATCTCTCCCGGGTGTTCCTCTCTCTTTCTTTTTTTTCTCTATTTATACACACACGTTAGTAGTACAGACACACACCTTCATTATATTTACGTATGTAATATTAGCTATTTCACAGCATCTGTTTCTAAGTTTTCATAGCTTCCCTGAGGGCCTCCCATGGCTGTGTTTTCAAGCCACATATAAAAAATACTCGATTTGTGTAACTACAAATAAATGGTAAAGGAGCAGATTCGTGGCAACCGCTTCTCTTCACCGATCACGGAAGCTCCAGGTAGGTGCAGGCCGTTTGGGATCTCAGAGGCCTCAGGGACTGCCAGGCGCGGCCTCTCTTGCCCTTGGCCGGCCGGAGACTGGGAGGCGGTTCTCCCTGCTAGCGTGTCTGGGAACCGCTTTCCTGTAAGCCTCGCAGACAAGATACCGCGGTAGCCCCAGCTCCTTTGCACTCATGGGGCATGGATTTGTCCCCGCGGCACGACCGGGGACTAGTCACTGCTTGGAGAACCGATGCGCACACCGCGCGCGGGTGGGAACCTTCAGAGAGGCAAACCGCCCGGATTCCCGGCAGGCTACATTCGCTGCCCCAGAGCTAGGTTCATATTCTTACCCGGATTTAAATATTGAAGAGAATTTGGTAAAAAGAAGCAGGGGAAACACATTCCGCTTAGTAGGTAGGAGTTCAGCTTCAAGAGAGATGTGGAAAAGCGTCTTTATTTAAAGAGAGCTCTGCTGGTTAGAAATCCGCCTACACGTGCCTGCTCCAGGCCAAGTGTCAGTGTGTATTTCTGTGAATATATTATCATATGAACTAGTGCAATTGTGTCTTTTCAACCAAGTTAAGTAGGAAGCCAGTGGCTCAAAAACACGCGATTGAAGAGGCCTTATTGAAAGCCTGACTTGGTCTGGCCTTTTCGTTTTAAAACCCTGTCATAGAAAGCAGGAGGGGAGGGAGCCCAGAAACGAAAGGGAGGTTTCAGCACCCGCAGGACTCATCCCAGTTGACTGACTTGGGCCCAGAAAGGCCGAGGCCTTGCCGGCAGTATCTGGATCCTCCTTGGCACGGGCGGAGGGGCAGCACATCTTGCCCAGATCACTTGGATCTGTGCTGCAAAGCCAGGGCAGGAATGAGCCTGTGGTGCAGGCTAACAGCCCTCTTGAGGAAACTGGGTTTCTTCCCGCGATCCCCGAAATCATTTCCCAGGGTCTGTTGGGTGGCCTCAGTCGGGGCAGTTCTACTTTAAACCCCCTCGCTGTCGGCAGCTCAAGCCGCTGGAGTCTAGACAGACGGCGGCAGCGGCCCCGGGGTCTTTCTCTGCATCTTGCTCTGTGTCACCCGAGGAACAATTTATTGGTCTAAAGCTAATTCCGCCTCTTTGATCCCCTGGCCTTCTTCTTGTTTGCTTCGTCTTCCTTTAACTTTCTTAGATTTTTATTTCCTACCAGAAAGAGATGCTATTTGGAACATTTTTTTCTCTTCCTTTTTTCTCCTTACCCCCTCCATTCCCCAACCACGACACGCTATAATCCTAATCTTCCATAAAGGGCATATCCGGATGTTGCCCTCCCCATGGCTCTTGTACCCCCAAAGGAAACCACCAGTCGCCCACCTGCCCCACCAGCCCCCCTCTCTCCCCCTTCCACATTCACGCCCCTGAGTAGTCCACCAGGCGGGAGCTGGGGCTCCGTTGTATCCGGGTCTGAGCCTCCCGCCGCCCTTTGTGCTCCTGGGACCCCCTGAGAAGGTGCGGTAAACAGAGGGGGACTGCACCCTCTGAAAGTGATGGAAAGCGCTTTGTACACAAGGAATCAAACTCTATAATTCAGAGGAGAATTTCCGGAGCAATTCCATTGTGAGGTCGGGTTTATGGTGTGCAATCGAGCTGAGCAGTAAAAGGCATACTGACCTGGTGGCTGGGCTTCCAGCGCGGCCTCGGCAGTTCATGAGTTGTTTAGGGGAAGGGCTCACCCCACTACCTTCCACGGAGCGGTGGCAGCAGGGGCTACGGCTGGACCAACCCCTCTCAGGTCTTGGTGGCTTGGGAAGGTAAGCTCCATGAGACTGGGGGCCTGGGTGGAAAGGAGTGAGGCTACTGTGTTCCAACTCTCTGTGAGCCTGGTTCTTGGAAAGGTGAAGCAGCCAGATCTGAGTGGCCTTTTGGGAGGGGGTCCCTTTATTTGTTTTGGGGTCTACAAAAGAAATAGAGATAGATAGTGGGCTGCAGCCCCCAGGTGCCTGAACTCCCCTCTCTCATCTCCAAACTGTCTAGAGCATGTGTTGCCTGCAGGCATCCAGGCCCAGGAAGAGCCGGTAAAGGCTACCAGAAACCTCACCAGTACTAGGGGTACCTGGAAAGGTGTGGCACCCAAAGTTCCTCCAAGCTGGGGGAAAAACACTTAGTTCCCTTTGAGCCAGGGGACCAAGGGTTGCAGGATGGACAAAAGAGTGTCCAGTTATTTCTTAGGCTGCCAGAGGCCACCAGCCAGGTGCCCAGGAGGGACGCACAGAGCCCGCCCGGCCAGCGGTGTCCAGGAGAAGGGAGGGGAACCCCATGTTAATAAATCTGTTGGCAAATGAGGCTCATTAATAGATAAATATTTCACTGCTTCCTTTAGATCGTATAAACAGTACGCCACTGATTAAGGAAAGGAAGCTGGGAGACGTTGACTTTATTCGAACCACATGGTTCCAGTTTGGCCGTTCTCGGTGCAGCTGGAAGCGACGCTGCGTCTGCCCCATCTGGATGGGAGTCTAAGTAGTCCTATTACCCAGAGGATTTCAGCGGGGGCATACTCGGGCAAAGTCGATTTGCTCAGAGCCGAGCCTTGCCCACAGGGCCACCCTGGGGCAGACGGGTGCGAGGGGTGCAGAGACCTTCCGTGGGCTGAGTCAGTGGGCAGATGAGGGACAGGGAGGACCCGCAGGCTTGGTCAGGGGTTCTATAATTGGAAAGAGGAGGCGGTGCCCGCCCGGCTCCGCGCGGCCACTGCAGGCCAGGTGTCCAGGTTGGCAGCGAGCCGAGTGCTCCTGCAGAGTCTCAGGGTCCTTTCCCCGCAGGACGCGCCCGGCCGGCCTGGCGTGGGCAGATTCGTTGGCCACATATTTGAGCCTCTTCCCCTTCCATTCTAGGCTGCCGCGGGCCCCGCGGAGCGAGACCACCTGTGAGGGCTGCTGAGATTGGCGGAGACAGTCATGTGGGCGGTCACGTGCTGCGGCAAGCTCCGTCCAAAAGAAAATGGGGTTTGGTGTAAATCTGGGGGTGTAATGTTATCATATATCACGCTACCTCGTAAAACCGACACTGAAAGCTGCCGGACAACAAATCACAGGTCAAAATTATGAGTTCTTCGTATTATGTGAACGCGCTTTTTAGCAAATATACGGCGGGGGCTTCTCTGTTCCAAAATGCCGAGCCGACTTCTTGCTCCTTTGCTCCCAACTCGCAGAGAAGCGGCTACGGGGCGGGCGCCGGCGCCTTCGCTTCGACCGTACCGGGCTTGTACAATGTCAACAGCCCCCTCTATCAGAGCCCCTTTGCATCCGGCTACGGCCTGGGAGCCGACGCCTACGGCAACCTGCCCTGCTCCTCCTACGACCAAAACATCCCCGGACTCTGCAGTGACCTCGCCAAAGGCGCCTGCGAGAAGGCGGACGAAGGCGCGCTGCACGGCCCGGCCGAGGCTAATTTCCGCATCTATCCCTGGATGCGGTCTTCAGGTAGGCGCAGTCGCTAGGCGGGCCGGGGATGGCGGACGCGGAGCGGGGAGCGCGGGGCTGGGAAGCGCAGAGCGCGGAGAGAGGTGGCTGCGAGCCGGCGGCCCCGTGACTCCTGGAGGCACTGCCTTTCTGGTTTTAATTAGAGCCGAGGCGCCATAGCGTGGAGAGCCTATAGCATTGTATGTAAATGAGGCTCATAAAACTTTTTATGGTCCAATTAATGGGTTCGATCCTCGTAAATTTATTTAACTCCATTTGCCTTAGAATTTTAGCTTTAAGTTTATTCGCGATTCCGTCTCCCTCCCTCCCTTTCTTCTCTCACCCTCCCTTCTGCTTTTCCTTTCAGCCTGGCTTTTCTTTCTCAAAAGCTGAGAGAGCCAAACCCTTCTTCAGGGCCCCCTCACACCCCCTGTGACAGGGGCCATTTAAAAGCGGGAATTGGGGGAGCGGGACAGAGGGTGAGTGTCCTCAGAAGGTCCAGGATGGGGGCGCAGACTCCATCTCGGGGTCCCTCTTCTGGGTAGGGAAGGCGCCCTTGGAGTGCGGGCCGCCGAGGGTCGCCCGCTTGCCTAGCAAGGCGGGGAAGCGGCCGGCTCATCTCTGAACGGCAAAAGCGCAGCGTCTCCCACTTGCCCACGCTCTGTATTTACAATTTCCCTTTGTCAGGGGGAAACAGGACATTGTGGAAGCCTAGCCGGCTGGAAAGAGCGGTTGTAAAGTTGGGATTCTGCGCCCTGACTCCTCGCAGGGCAGCCTGCGCGGCTGGCAGCGCGGGTTGGGGTCTTCCGCAGACTCTCCCGCTCCTCCCCCAGCGCAGTTCGGAGCGCCGGGCCGAGGGAACGCGCCGGGTAGGGGCGGGGAGGAGCGTGCGGGCTCTGGGATGGCGGCTAATGCTCTGTCCTGTTTGTGCCCTGTCGGCTCGTCTGTCCTTGTGTCCATGTGTCCGTGTATCTGCTCCCAGGGCCTGACAGGAAGCGGGGCCGCCAGACCTACACGCGATACCAGACGCTGGAGCTGGAGAAGGAGTTCCACTTCAACCGCTACCTGACGCGGCGCCGCCGCATCGAGATCGCCCACGCGCTCTGCCTCACCGAGCGCCAGATCAAGATCTGGTTCCAGAACCGCCGCATGAAGTGGAAGAAAGAGCATAAGGACGAGGGACCGGCAGCCGCAGCAGCCCCCGAGGGTGCCGCGCCCGCCGCCACAACCTCTGCCTCCGCTGACAAGGCCGAAGACGAGGACGACGACGAAGACGAGGACGATGAGGAGGAGGAGGAATGAGGGGCTGAGCTGGGGCCATGGCTGCACCAGACAGTGGGAAACGCGTCTTTAGAGACCCATTGGTTTTATTTACAAAAGTGGAAAAAAGTAAAAAGAAAATGTAAAACAAAGCAAAACAAAACACCCCTCCCGTCCCTAACCTGCGCCCCACTTATACCCCATTACCCAGTCCAGGTCCCAACATTTTCTGGACTGTGCAGTCGCCTAGAATGTGTCTCTTTGGGGATCCCTCTGCCTCCAAGGAACCGCAACAGACACCCCCCCAAACCCAGGCCGGCCAGCTCTGTGCTGGTGCGGCTAAAATACTACCTAGCACAGGCCTCAGCTAGAGGCACCCCAAAACTACCTATGGGCCCAGCCCCAAAGGGCCTCCACTCCCAGGAAGCCCAGAAGTGTCCCAACACTGGCCGACACTCGGCACCTCCCCCATACCGGCAAGGACCTGACTCTCAGTACTACCTACTGTCCCAAACTACCTATTTTGTGCTTGCTGGCTCGCCTCCTACCTAACCAGCCCCTCCCTTGTCAGGCCCTTGCTGCTTCTGGATGGCAGCCTTTGGGATCCCTAAGGCTGCGCTTAGAAGGCACTGGGGTCCGGGGACAGGGTATTGGCTTCTATTTAAATTGAAAAATAATATATTTATTCCAAAGCATTTTAAGTGCTGCAATCTAGAATCCCTCCTTTTCTGGCCTGGGCACCCCAAGTTCAGGCCCATCATCTTCTGGAGGGGAGCATTCCCAAGCTAGCTGTAGACCTCTGAGTTAGCTAATGTTTAATAGGACTGCAGAGATGCTCGCAGCTTCCCTGCCTCCTCCCCTGACCCTTGTGTCCTCCTGTCCAGCCTTGTTGAATATGTATACCCTTACTTTTCCTACAATAGCAAATGCTGTATATTTGAACAAGATTTTTTTGTCATTTATATAGTCTTGGAGCTCATTTGTAAGGCAATGTCTTGACTTGGGAAGGATGTATTAACGGGGTGACTTTGCAGCATGGTGTGTTGTCTTGAGCTAACTGTAGTGGATGGGGTTGTCTTGAGCTAACTGTAGTGGGTGGGGAGAGCCTATGCCCTCCCTCCTCAATGCCCTTTATCTCCTGTGTTGTCCTACATCCCTTCATCCCTCTTGGCTCTAGCCTGGGGTTCCAGGAACAGGAAGGTACGCTTTCTGTCTTGCCCAGCTAACCATGTTCTATGTAACAGAAAAATAAAGATGCTTGGTGACAAAGAAACGTGGACTGCTTTATGTAGGGGGTTAGGAAAGAGATGGTGAGCATGGCTGGAGAGCAAACCATGGCTGTGTCTATGTTCCCAAAGGGGCTTTGCGGAAGCAAAAGTGGAAGGATGAATAGGGGAATATGGTCCACGTGTTTGGTGTCCGTGTATTAGTGTATATGCATTTCAAGTTCCTTTTTGTGTGGATTTTTTATGTGTGGATTTGTATATAGGTATGTGCATACCTCATTTTGTATGTGTAGTTCTCTGTATGTCTGCATAGATTATTTCATGAGTCCATAATTGTATTTGTGTCCATAATTGAGTGCGTGTGTTTTTCTGCGTGTACATAATCGCATGTGCTTGTGTCCATAAATGTGTGTTTCTGTGTCCATAATTGTATATGTGCATTTCTCTGTGTGGAGATTTGTGCCTGGTTTTTGTGTGTGTCCACATCTTCCAGATCCCTTGAAAACAATCTTCGATGGATGCATTATATTCTCTCAACATCCCCCCAAAACTCCATAAATTCCTGGGCAATCCCAAATCAACCTTTCTTCTAAGGCTGTGGGGTGGGCTTGGAAAGGGGTATCACCCTGCGATTTATCCTGAATTCTCCAGGAGCCCTGAACCCGGCTCCAGGCTAAGAGGGAGGGTCAGGGCCTCTGTCACAGTACCCCACCTCACATTCAGGCGAAGCAAGGGTTCCCAGGGACCCCGCGCTGCAACTGGGAAAGGGCAGGGGCCATGGACCCGGTCAGTGAATCTTCAGCGGAGGGCGTCTGGGTACGGAGAAGAATGAGGGGCTAGGAAAGGGGCGAGGGTCGGTGTCGACAGCACAGAACATTCTGAATTCTGTAGGCTAGGCGAAACCCTTAACTCCAGTCTCCTGCCTGGGCTGGATCCGATTCTTACTGCTCTTTTAATGAACGGCGGCCCAACTGGGTCTGTGAAACCTGCGGCCCTAGTCGGGGCAGCCTCCGTGGAAAGATGGCGCCGGTGTAAGAGCTGCCTCCTCTTAGTGATGGGGAAAGGGTCATAAATCCGTTGTTGTTTATGAAAATTTACAACTTTGCAATACAACTTTATGAGTTGTTCGGCCCTTCCATTGGCCGCTGTCGGTCATGTGGATGGCAACCGTGAACATGAACTTTTTTATAATTTCCCTTGCGAGAATAGAGCCGCATTCTTTTGCTCCGCTCCGTCCTGCCTGCTTCAGAGCTCTGCCTTCCAGCCCGGCTCGGCTGCGCTTTGTCCAGCAATGGCGAGCGAGAAGAGGCCCAGGTCCGGCCCGGCCCGGCCGCTCCCGCTGGAGGTGGGGCGCGCCCAGTTCCTGGCGCCGCGGCGGCCGCTTTGCAACTCGCAACCTGGCTAATTTCCTGCGTCCTCTGGCTCCAGGAAGGACAATTCGTCTCCCCGGGCTGCCCAAGCGACAGCTGTCAAGGGGGCAGGAGCTTCTGGGAGCCGCTATCTGAAGGTGAGACATGTAGGGAGACAGGAGCAAAGGTGGTGAGATGGCAGCCGGCAGCGGCGGTGGGAGAGGGCACCCAGGGCGGCTTTGAAGAGGGGCATACTAACTCTCAGCCACCCACCCGCTCACATTCGCGCTCACCTCTCTCTCTCTCTCTCTCTCTCTCACACACACACACACACGAGTCCTTCCCTCCCTCCTCTCCCTGGCTCACGGCTCACCACGGCAGTAAATGCCTGCCCGCCTGTGGCACAGCGCCCTTGCAGCAACTCAAGAGGTCTTCTCTGTCCCCATGCCCAGCACCCAAAAAAGAAAGTGGCCCTGCACCCCGCGCTCCTTGTTAGCCTCTTGGGTTTGGATTTCCTTTTTCTTTTTCATTCCTGGCCCAAATGGTTCGAATGAATTCCCCAACAACTGCAATGGGAAAGTGGGAAGAGGTGAGGGAAGACTGCATTAACCGACAGGCGTTTTCTTAGCATTAACATAGCACCTTCTGTGCTGTGGGAATTGGATCTGGAGAGAAAGTACAATGAGGCGGGAAAAAAACTCACTAATTCAGCCAGATTCCTTTGCTGATTGCCTGCTTCCCTTCACGCGGTTTTCCGATAGGCGGTGTCTGCAGCAAGCGGAGGAGTAGGTGCGTGGGTGGAAGTCTGTGTTGGAAGAGAAGATGGGGTTAATTGCTGGTTGGTGCTTGGCGGGAAATTTCGGTGCAAAGGAGGCAATAGTGTTTTGAGAATGACAAGGGCCCGCAACTAAGGCTGAAGGCAGGACGCAAACCGAGTCTGGGCAATAGCGGGACCCCGCACCCACCTCGGCACTGCGGGCTGGCACCGCACGCCCCGCTTCCCACAAGCGCGGGATGTGGAGCCGTCTGGGAGAAGACGCTCAGGATGCTGCGGGTGTGGGCTTTACATCTGGTGGCACAGTGAGGTGGTAGCTTGGCCTGGGTGCTCCCCAGGCAGACCTGTCTCGGGAGCTTCCTGGGACAGAGACCAGAAACGATTTTGAGGTGCTAGAGTTTTTTGGGTTTTCTGGTTTTTTGGTTTTGGTGGTTGTTTTCCCATTTTAAGGTAATACATTTGGTATACATTAGATAATTAAGACGGGCTGTGGATCTTGGGGGCGTCCGCCAGCGCAGGGCTGTGTTCAGGGGGGATAAAGCTGTATATTTGCATTGCAGGGCCGCGGGCAGCTTGATTGCGGCTGCCGCGGGAAGATTATTTATTGTGACCGCGCTTGGCGCTCGCTGCTGCCACGCTGTGGCAGTCGCCGGGACCGACGCCAGCCGCAGCCCCGCGTCGTGCAGTCTGGCGCGACTGCTGTGCGGGCCCCTCAGAGATTCTCAAGCAGGCTTAGGAGAGGGGGGCGAGAGAGGACCTGACAGGCGGCCTCCCAGAACCTGACTACCCGGGAACCTCCCCCGACTTGGCCACCCCAGACAGGAGTTGAACGCCCGACTAGACTCGGGCCCTCCTTCCCTCCCACCTTCCTCCCTTTCCCCCAGCCCCCGCCCCCCAGCACCGTGGAGACTGGTTGCACAGGCTGTCTGGCACGTCATGGCTGCTTCTGTCCAAACTGCGCGTCCCAAGGCGCCCCCAGGGGCGCACTCTGGTTCTGGGAACGCGCCCGCCTTGGGATTTTGAAATCGGAGAGACCACTCGTAGCCCTGCGGCCTGCAGGCCTGGCTGGCCCTGAGGAGGATTGGCTATGGCAAGGAAGGCGGGCTTTGGCTCCAGGAGAGGGCCTGTGACAGGCAGAGGCTGCACCTGTGTGCTGTGGGCTCTGGCTTGGGCTAGGGATCCGGGCGCACGGGGTAGCCTTCAAAGCCCCCCCCACACACCGGCAGGCCGCCCTCCAGGCTGGCGGAGGTCGAGGAGCTCAGTGGGCAGCCCAGGGAAAGGGCCCACTGTGGGGCCCTGCTCGCCATCCCATCCCCCCTTGAAGAGCAGCTAAAAGGTAAGTGGACTTTCTGTGTGGTTTTCACCGAGAAGACAGAGTCCTGGTAGCCATTCTCACCGTCTCAGGAGACGCTCCCTCCAGCGTCTGGGCTTCTATTCTTGCCTGAGGGAGTCGCTCTTTCTATCTGTGATATATGTAAAATGGTGGTTGGAGAAATAAATTGGGCAGCTGCCAACATGATATGTACTAGCCTTGGCTAACACATAGAGATTTCAATTTAATATATTTTTTTCCTTCTTAGTGCGTGCCTATAGAAGCTAGATTTGTAATGCTTTTTGACTCTTAGCTGAGAAACCATTATTTTCTTGTTGGCTGAGACAATTATTAGCTTGAGAATCCAGGTCAAACCATAACAAATTATAACCATAGTAGTAAACAGCCACCAGGTCCCAACGCTGTGTGGGACCTGGAGAAATGAAGCAGAAATAAATGTAAACATTTATCAACATCTCCAAATGGTTATTTTCATATTACATAATAGTAAATTGCTTGAAATCACTGTCATTTGATGGTCTTGTTTAAGAAACTACAGGTCAACCAAGATTTTCTTGTAACATAGCTTTTAAAAAATAATTCCCTTTTTAATTTTTGACCCTTGGATTTTCATTTTCACCTATCGAATCTGTTCCCTGAAGAAATTCGAGAGCAGCGTTAAATTCTATTCTCCCCTGCCAGGCGCTTTTTTATATATGCAGAGGAGAAACTTTCCTGGCTTGGAATCTCTGGGGCACAGGCAAAGGCTTGTAGGCGAAGACTAACCCGGTAGGCAGCAGCTGCTTTCAAGGGGGCACAGTAGGCTCTGTTGAGGCAAACCTTAGCTCAGCTCTTTCACAATATTTTCCCTTTGGGGCAAGTGGGGGCAGGAATAAAATTGAAAAGCAAGGGAGAAATTAAGGAAGCCGTTGCCAGATTCCTAGGGGCGTATTGCCATTCCCCCAAGTCCTGAATCCCACCAGCCTGCATTTGCCAGTTTTACAGATGTTATGAACACCCTCCAGAAATTCAACCAAATCATATAAAGTCTTTCTTCAATCTCCACAGAATTGAGGATTTTAGAGCTAAATCAAGAGGTTTTACAAACCCAACGAATGCAGTCGGAAAATGCCACTAGAAAGGTATAACATTTTACAAAATGAGACTGCTCCCTATGCTGTAAAAGTCAACTGTCTCCAAGGCACACCTCAAGAGATATCCACAAGGCAGGAGAGAAAAGTCCAGAACCGGGTTTTCATGTCCTGCCTGGGTAAGGCCAGGCCAGGGACCACGGCAAAAGCAATTCAGGTGGTTTCTGTAGCCAATAAGAAATATTCCCGGTTCTGGGGCAAGTGCTGCGGCAGGCCCTGAAACAGTCCCAGGAAAGGCAGGAAAGAGGGCACACCCAGGACAGTGAGGACAATCAGGAGCCCCAGAAACCAAGCACATCAATTATCCCACAGCCTTGCCTCACCCGCCCACCCCCCAGGCAACCAGCTGCCCTCTATGTTCGGCTGGGCCAGGGACCCTGGGTCGTCTGTGCCTCTGGAATGAGGACAGAGGTTCCATAACTGGATTTGTCTCAGCTCTGAACAGTCGGGGTGGCGGGAGGGCAAGAAGGAAGCAGTTTCCATTGCTGAATTTGGAGCTCAGTCTCAAGGCCAGTCCTATACAGGTTCCTTTCTTGTTGAAACCAGTGCTTTCCGGCTTCTCTTTTCCTGGGTTCAGAGGCGAGATGGGGCTCACAGCTTGTGTGGTGCTTTGAGGCCAGCAAAGGAGACGTGTTGTACGTGGGCGGTGGGGGCTTGCGGGGGAAGAGACCGTTCCCTGGTCAAGAAGGTGAGCCTTCTGCTCCCAGCAGCGAGGCCCAGGCCCTTGGTGGGAGCTGGGAAGTAAAGGAGGGGATGCACCGCTTCCTAAAGCACAGGAGTGAGGTGCTGGGCGTGAAGGCCTGGTTTCCCAGACCCCTTCTGCAGCTCCAGAACCCGCACCTACGGGAAGGGGAGCGCAGGGGGAGGGGCAAACTCAACACCCTGCTGGGAGGGCAGGCAGGCGGGGAGAAAAGCCATCCTTATCACGCCCCTCCGGGCGCGGGGCTGTCAGGTTTCCTGTTTGGAAAGAAAACCCAGCAACATCCAACACGGCAAAAAGGGGAGGAGGAAATAGCGGGCCTGGCGGGGCCTGCGGCAGCCGGATGCTGGTGCCCCTACTCCGGCCTGATCTGTACTCCCCTGCCCGGGCCGTGCCCGCCGCTGGCGTTCGGGAAAAGCTGGGCCGGCTGGCTGTGTGCGCCCATTAATCTGCCGGGAGGGCGGTGGGCGGGCGGGCTGGGGGCTGTTTGTAACTTTGCTGCCTCGGTCGCCGCGGTCCCCGGGGAGCGGGCTCCGGAGCTCTCTCCCATTGGCCGTCGCTGTGTCAGCTGGTGCGATTTGCTGCTGTCGCTTTTGGCGTTCGGCCATCCAGAAACAAACCAGTTCGATGACTACTAATAGTTATAGCCAGATGTACTAATACACAACAAATCACAGTCCTGCAGAGGGGCGCGCAAATGAGTTCCTATTTTGTGAATCCCACTTTCCCCGGGAGCCTGCCCAGCGGCCAGGACTCCTTCTTGGGCCAGCTGCCCCTCTACCCGGCTGGCTATGACGCGCTGAGGCCCTTCCCAGCCTCGTACGGGGCGTCCAGCCTTCCGGACAAGACGTACACCTCACCTTGTTTCTACCAACAGTCCAACTCGGTCCTCGCCTGTAACCGGGCGTCCTACGAGTACGGGGCCTCGTGTTTCTATTCTGATAAGGACCTCAGTGGCACCTCGCCCTCGGGCAGTGGCAAGCAGAGGGGCCCCGGGGACTACCTGCACTTTTCTCCCGAGCAGCAGTACAAACCCGACAGCAGCAGCGTGCCAGGCAAAGCGCTCCATGACGAAGGCACCGACCGGAAGTACACGAGCCCTGTTTACCCCTGGATGCAGCGGATGAACTCCTGCGCGGGTAAGGCATTTCCCTGCAGCCCACCCCCCAAGAGAGTGGAGGGAAAGGGGGAAGAAGGCAGGGATAGAAGGAAGGAAGGAGGAGAAAGAAAGTAGAAAAGTAAAAGGAAAGAAAGGAAGAAAATGAACAAAGTTTCTTTGGCTTTTAAATATGAATTAAAAAAAGAAAAAAGCACCCAATCCATTCCCAATGGGGCAATCAAGCTGTGGCAAAGTCAAGTCAGGGCACTAGTGTCCATGTAAAGTGACACCTTAGGGGAGTGGAGGGTGTCACAGACACACTATGTGAGATTCATGACAAGGGCAACCTGGAGAGAGAGGGAGACTGGATAGGAGGGAGCACCTGCCCACACAGCTCCCTGGGAGCACCCTGCTCAGATTGCCAAGCAGAGTTGTTCTTCTGCATCATCACTGATAACTGACTTTCACCTCCCAACCCCCTCTCCTGTCTACCCTTCGAAATCCCATATAGATAGAGGCTCTCATTTGGCCTCTTCCAGTGTCTCCCCAAAGCCTGAAGGCCACATTCACAGTCTCAGGATTTTTCTCTCTCCTCCCACCCCTCCTCCCTCTTCCACTCAACTGCTCACTCACAGCCAACTTCTACCTCCTTCTGAGGCCCTGCCCTAGTCTCACACACCCAGCTGGGGAAAGCCCCCCATCCATGAGCCCCCTTGGCACCAGAATAGATAGTGCATCACAGCTCTGTATTTTCAGAAATCCCAGATGTCCCTAACTCCATCTCTTTGCCCCTGCTTTCCAAAAACTCCATGGGGAATCCTTAGAGAAGGACACAGCCTAATGCAGATTTTTTAATTTAGTGTTTTGCTTTAAAATCCAATTTTTTCGAGGGAACTCTGCTTTCTCAGAAGGGCCATACAATTTGGGTGCATTTGCAAAGATTTGAGAGGGCTGACCATTTAAATTTCCCCAAAAGCTTGTTGAGTCCTGACATGGCTGGCCACAGTAACATCTTCACAGAGATCCGTGTGTGAATCTGGAGTGTCTACCCTATCCACAAGGTTCCACACCCATCACTCCTAGGCACACTCACTATACTCCCCCCAAAAAAACCCTACTTTGGTACCCGGAATTAAGATTGGTCATTCTATTCTTTTGCTTTTAATGGTTTTCTTAACAGAGCAGATTTTTCAAAGCAGTAACTCTCACCCCAAGTCATTTTAGGTAGAAAATATCTCGGTTGGTATGAAATATCTCCCATCCATCCCGCTTTCGGCCCCGTAGTGGGAGAGGCTGGAGCGGAGGTGGGTGGTTTCAAACCCAGATGCCCAGGGCATGGGGCGCAGGGATGACTGGCTCAGCTGCCCAGATACTGCTTTACCGGCGCCCGGCCATTTCTGCCCGCAGGTGCTGTGTACGGGAGTCACGGGCGCCGAGGCCGCCAGACCTACACGCGATACCAGACGCTGGAGCTGGAGAAGGAGTTCCACTTCAACCGCTACCTGACGCGGCGCCGCCGCATCGAGATCGCTAACGCGCTCTGCCTCACCGAGCGCCAGATCAAGATCTGGTTCCAGAACCGCCGCATGAAGTGGAAAAAGGAAAATAAACTCATCAATTCCACACAGCCCAGCGGGGAGGACGCTGAGGCAAAGGCGGGCGAGTAGACTCCTGGGCAGGGACAAGGCCAGCAACAGCAACCTCCCTCGGCTTTGCCCCCTTGCCTTCTCCTGTTCCCCAACTTTTCTCCCTGCCTGCTCCTATTGTTTGGTGGGGGGGGGGGCTTCCGCAGCTTCAGGGGAACCCGGAGCTTTGAAACGCCTGAGTATTTCTTACGAAATAATAATAACCCACACACAGCCAACCCTAGCGGTGGAGCAGGGCGCACGGCACACATAGCCCGGCTCTCCAAGGCTGCCCAAGCCTGCTCGGGATCCCAGGGCGCGCCCCGAATTCGTCCCTGGCTCTTGTGCTAGCGTCTCTGTACGCCTCTGAGCTCGGGACGCAGGATTACTGGAGAGGAGAGAACACCAGGCCGAGCCCCTTTTGGTGCCTGGGAATTTCCGCCTCGGTCTTTTGCCACCAAGTCCCGGAGGATACCACCAAATCGACTGCGGCCACTGGAAAGAGGGGGCCTAAAGGCTGGGCCCCAGGAGTTCTGTGGCCTCCCAGCCCCCCCCCCAGACAGGAAGAAGAGCGGGGAACAAAGGGTGCCCTGAGAGAGCCTGGGCTCTCGGCCCCGCGCCCAACCGTCCATGGAAGAGGAGCAGCCTCAGCCGTGTTGAGCCAACCTGGGCGCGGGTGGAACTTTACAGCCCCGGGAGCGACTGGGCTCCCAAAGGCTCCGTGCTCTGGATTCCGGCTGCCTGCCTCCGATAGCGTCGGCGCTGCCAACAACCACAGCAGCTTTCAGGACCTAAGGAGGGAGCCCAGGGCCATGGAAACAGCAAGAGTTCTGGTTTCCAAACGTGCCAGAGGTGCCTGCGACGCGCGGCCTCCAGCTTGGATATCCCTCCGTGATTTTCGGCTGTTTGAGAATTTATTTCGTCTTTTAGAACGCAGGAAAATAACTACGGAGACACTAGGCACTGCCACGAAATGCTTCCACTAGCATCCTCATTTTACTCCTGGATATCTAAGCAAGACCATAATAATTCAGTCCATGGGTCCCCAGCCCCCAAGCAGCTTCTGTGGCTGCGGGGAGCCTGGGTTCACTCGCCGGCTTCACCGGGAACCCTCTGACTTGGGGCCTGGCTGGCTGGAGGAAAGGGACTCGTTGGTGAAAATTCTCCAGAATGGATACTTAAAGCAAAACAAATAGCAAAGTAATGACACGAAAGCCGTACTTAAAGAAAGAAAAATCAACTCCAGTTATAAAAGTGTATGGAATTTGACCTCGCCTCAGAGAAACACTACACAAAAGCTATCTTTAATAGACGCCTGTCATTTAAGAGCGGCAGGGACACTGTCCCGCATGCGCTCGCAAAAAACAGAGTCATAATTGTAGCTGCTGCTGCGGGCAGGATTTATTTCTCCAATTGACTAAATGGCCTCCCCTCTTCCCCGAAGGTGATATCTGTATTTTAAAATTTCAGAGCTGCCGGTACGACAGGCAGAACCGACCCCAACCTCGACACAAAAATAAGGGGCTGCACAGCGGGAAAATGAAGTTGTTGTAAATAAAATCCAAGTCACCATCTCCCCCCCAGTCCTCTGCATCCTCGCCGGGCGCGCGATCGGCAGCTGACGGCCTCACAATTGGTACATCCTAATGGAACTGCGAGGGAAATGCAATAATTTTGCCATAATGGGCTGTAACCTCAATTCGACCCCGGCCCTTGAAGCCCCGGGTCGGAAGCGGAGCGATGCGCCCTGCCTCCAGCGGGTGGCGCTCGAGTCCGACTGAAAGGCAGTAGCGGGTGGCGGGCACGCGCCTGGGGCGCGCGCGCCACCCCTCTTGCCTCCACCCAACTCCCCCATTAGTGCACGAGTTTACCTCTAGAGGTCATCAGGCAGGATTTACGACTGGACAACAAAAGCACGTGATTCGAAGTCGTACCCCATATTTGGGTGCCTACGTAGGAGGGAACCAAGTACATGTCCCAGTCATTTCCATAATTCATCATAAATTGTGCAAGGGTGCTATAGACGCACAAACGACCGCGAGCCACAAATCAAGCACACATATCAAAAAACAAATGAGCTCTTATTTTGTAAACTCATTTTGCGGTCGCTATCCAAATGGCCCGGACTACCAGTTGCATAATTATGGAGATCATAGTTCCGTGAGCGAGCAATTCAGGGACTCGGCGAGCATGCACTCCGGCAGGTACGGCTACGGCTACAATGGCATGGATCTCAGCGTCGGCCGCTCGGGCTCTGGCCACTTTGGCTCCGGGGAGCGCGCCCGCAGCTACGGGGCCGGCGCCAACGCGGCGCCCGCCGAGCCCAGGTACAGCCAACCGGCCACGTCCACGCACTCGCCTCCGCCCGATCCGCTGCCCTGTTCCGCAGTGGCCCCCTCGCCTGGCAGCGACAGCCACCACGGCGGGAAAAACTCCCTGGGCAACTCCAGCGGCGCCTCGGCTAACGCCGGCAGCACCCACATCAGCAGCAGAGAGGGGGTTGGCACGGCGTCCGGACCCGAGGAGGACGCCCCCGCCAGCAGCGAGCAGGCGAGCGCGCAGAGCGAGCCGAGCCCGGCGCCGCCTGCCCAACCCCAGATCTACCCCTGGATGCGCAAGCTGCACATAAGTCATGGTAAAGCCAGCCTTTTTCTAGATCCACGCGGCCGCGGGGGTGCGGCTCTCGGTCCCCCTGCTTTCTTTTATCGCCCTGTCTCCCCATCTCGCCCTTGGTCTCTCCTCTCCCGCGGTTCTCCTCCGGCCTTCCTTCTTTCCTTCTCTGGAGCACCCAGAGCTTTCAGATGATGGTGTTGGGGGATGGGGGATGGCAAAAGGGCCGCTGGCCAGGCAAGTTTACACGTTGAAAGTGGGGAAAGGAAAAAGCCCATATCGAACCCCGGCGCCTCGGAACGCTCTCCCCTGTCAGGCCAGCCGAGCAGGGCGCAGAGAGGTAGAGGATGGAAGTAGGGGCAGTGAATCGGGCTTGTCAGGGTGGATAATTTATGAGAAAGGCTACGCTGGGGAAACAGCGTTACTAATTCGAGTCCCCGAAAAGGGGCTTGGTAGGGGAATAATCGAGGCGAGAGCCGGCGGGATTTTGAAATCTGGGGGCAGGAGGGAGAGCAGAAAAGGAGAGGGAAGAAAAAGAAAGCAGGAGCCCCCAGCGTGCGGGCTGAGCAGGAGGCGACTCTCAGGGCTGGAACTTTAAGGGAGGGTGACCTGGAAGCCAACTGGGCTCTCAGAAAAGGGCCTTACTTTGGTGGGTTTCTGAGCCGTGGGCAGCCTGAGAGGGCTGTACCCCTGCTTCGGGCGCCAGGGCTAGGGCCAGAGGGCAGGAGAGGGGTGAGGGAAAGACTGGCAATCCTCAGGGACGCGGCTCCAGCCTCAGATGGGCCGATTGTTCCCAGAGTCTAAATTGTATTGTTTTCTCTTTAGAAAGGAAGAGGGAAGGAAATTCGGGAGGGGTAGGCAGGCGAGGAGGGAGGACTTGTTGAGCTTTACCCCGCTGTCCCTTTCTCAGGACCCTGGCTCCTCCAGCTGGTGGACTTGGTAGCTAGGCGCTGAGGAGTTGATGGCTAAACGGCTGACTTTTCTGTTGCAGACAACATAGGCGGCCCGGAAGGCAAAAGGGCCCGAACGGCCTACACGCGTTACCAAACCCTGGAGCTGGAGAAGGAGTTCCACTTCAACCGCTACCTGACCCGCCGAAGAAGAATTGAAATAGCACATGCTCTTTGCCTCTCCGAGAGACAAATTAAAATCTGGTTCCAAAACCGGAGAATGAAGTGGAAAAAAGATAATAAGCTGAAAAGCATGAGCATGGCGGCGGCGGGAGGGGCCTTCCGTCCCTGAGTATTTGAGCGTTTAAAGTACTGAGCAGTATTAGCGGATCCCGCCGTAATGTCAGTACTAAGGTGACTTTCTGAAACTCCCTTGTGTTCCTTCTGTGAAGAAGCTCTGTTCTTGTTGCCCTAATTCATCTTTTAATCATAAGCCTGTTTATTGCCATTTATAGCGCCTGTATAAGTAGATCTACTTTCTGTTCATCTCTTTGTCTTGAATGGCTTTGTCTTGAAAAAAAAATAGATGTTTTAACTTATTTATATGAAGCAAGCTGTGTTACTTGAAGTAACTATAACAAAAAAGAGAAGAGAAAAAAACACACAAAAGTCCCCCTTCGACCTCGTTTAGTGCCAATGTTGTGTGTTGCACTCCAGTTGTTTAACTGTGCATGTGAGTGGAAGTGTTCCTGTCTCAATAGCTCCAAGCTGTTAAACATATTTTTATTCAAACTACCTATATTCCTTGTGTAATTAATGCTGTTGTAGAGATGACTTGATGAGACACAACTTAACTTGTTTGACGTGTAGTGACTAGTGACTCTGTGACGAAAACTGTGACTCTGAGCGGTGTGTCCCTGCGTGCCTTTGTAGGACCCTTTGCACGAACTCTGGAAGTGGCTCTTATAAGCGCAGCTTCAGTGATGTATGTTTTTGTGAACAAAGTTACAAATATTGTCCAAGTCTGGCTGTTTAAGCAAACTGTGATCAGCTTTTTTTTTTTTTTGTATTTGTTTTTAAGGAAAAAATACTGACTGGAAACAAAAAATAAACTTTCTATTGTAAGTTCTCCTGGTCTGGTTTGTGCCAAATAGTGAGCGGCTCTTTCTGCTCTTCTGTCTGTCCAAGCTGGAAGGCAGTGAATCTGAGGCTACCTGAGCAGCCTGCCTGTGCAGGGAGATCTCAGACCTCATGATCCGCAGCCTCCCCTAACTCTGACCCATCAGAGTTCAGGGCAGAAGGTGGAAAACTGTAGGTGATTTCAAAGCCTTAGTCTAACATGCCCATCTCTGAGGAAACCAAGTTAATTTGCTGGGTACAAAAAAGAGGAAGAGAGAGAAAGGAGAAAAAGCCCAGGGCTTTGTTAGTAGGGTTCCACATAGGTGCTGCCTCTTTTTCTAAGGCCATCTGAGGCCTCCACTGGCTGAAGAGGATGCTGTGCCAACTTACGGCCCCCAAACCCTCTGCCCTAACTCACCCAGTCATCCCTTCCCACTCCTCACCCTGAACCCAGTTGGCTTCTTTAACTACAATTGATTTGCTGCAAATGGAAGGTACTTACCCCATTCTAGCTTGATTGGGAAACTCTTCAGAGCAGCTAAAGCGCAACTAGAGATTTGCACATTTACCGACTGCTTACACTGATGCCGTCTTTCCTTTTAAAAGTTATAAAACAGTAAACTTTATAAGCCCCAGTTCCGGCTATATGACATTTGGGTGCCAAATGAATAGGGTTTTGTCTATGAATTAGATCGTAAAATCATCCATAGCACAGACAGATCGGCTCACTGGCTATAAAATGTCACGTGGGGCCATTAAAATAAGTTTTATGGTTTTGGGGAGTTGACATCCAACATTATATACCACATAACATATAATCTCACTGACGCTGGACTCCATTTGACTCTTTTGCAGGCTACGTGTGCCGCCTGGTCATTCAAATTGTCAATTTTAGGTCCAGAAGTGTCTAAACCACAAGTTCTCAAAACTCCGAAAAATGGCTCCCTCCAAGTTAAGGTAAGCTTGCCTTCTGAGTGCTTTCAAGTTTATCTGTACTCTGAAAACTTTCTTCCTCCATCTTTCTCTCACTCATTCTCTCTGTGGTTCAATGACTCTGAGGTTGTCTCTGAATTCAAAAGGGCAGAGCAAACTTTTTCTCTGTCCAAACGTGCAGCGCCAGGAGCCAGCTTTGCGGAGGCCCCACGGTGAAAAGCGCCTGTGGCCGCCGCATCCCAGGCCTAACTTTAATTGCTGCCCAGCCGCGGCTGCTAATGACTTCCGCTGCTCTCGCCAGCGTGTAGAAAGATGGTTTTGGTGTGCGAATGGGCCTGTGTGTGGAGACTTGGCAGGGTCGGCCCCCATTCCGGGGCGGGTGGGTCGGCTCGTGGGGGTACCGGAGCCTTAAGTGGGGGCTGGGAGACAGTGGGGCGCCTGCTGCGGGCGCCGAGGGCCGCGATGCGCTGGGATTGCTTGGGAGTCTGAAAGAAAGGCCCGTGTAGGGCCGAGGCAGATCTGGCGGGATTCCTTACGGGGCTGTGGCAATGCGTCTGTGCAGGCTGAGGTCATTTGGCAGCACTGAATTGAGGCGGCTGCCTTTGGGGCCGGGTTCAGGCTGGCTCTTGAGAACCAGAGGGTGGCAGAGGCCGGCAAGACGCAGGCCAGGCCTGCAGGCTGAGTCCTTGGCTTGCAAGGCGAGGCCGAGGCCAGGACACTAGCGCCCACAGGATACTGGAGACCTCGCGTTTCCACCGCTGGGAGGACCCGCCATCCCCCACCCCCGCACCGAGGACCAGGCCCTGAACCTTGTTTGCCTGCATGTTTTTTTTATTTTGGTGGGACTGTTCTCACCCGCCTGTGAGTTTGAAGCAATAAACTTTATGGCCGGGTTTAACTTTAGTCTTTGAATCCCCAGGCTAAATGAAAGGAGTTAAAGTGCTTTCTTTTCTTCCGCCTTGCCTTTCTTCTCCTCTTCTTTCCTTTTCCTCTCCTCCTTTGTAGAATTAAAACCTCTATGCACAGGACCCTCAATAAGCAACTTAGGCATCCCCCTGGATAACCCTGAAGATCAGAGAAATTTACTTCCCCTCAACATACAGACAAACTCTCTCTTCCAAACTAAAGTTTGGAGGGAAATCGAGTAGTCTTCAGTGCCCAACTTAAAAGTCCCCAGAGCCATTAGGTTGTTTTTCCTGACACATCATAAAGGGTAGTTTGGGGAAGAAATTGGTCGTTTGTCAGTAGGAGATTTCCGCCTTTCTTTTGTTAGCTGCTCTTTCTGTTTGATCCCAGGAAATTTACATAATCTATGATTTCCAAAATAGTCCCCAGTATTGCACCAAACGGGTGAAGTAAGGTGAAATAAAAATTTTCCTGGATACAATTCCAGCTTGGCTCCAGCCACCCACTCTGGCCCCAAACCCCCATTATTCAGTAGCAAAGCAGTGACTGGGGATCCTGTGGCCTGTCCTGGGGTCTTTCTCTGGATGGGTACCCACAAGAAACCTAGCAGATGTCCCCTATCCTGTTTGAAGAATTAAGCCAAATGAAAGAAAAAAAAGGGGGATCTTCGGTCTCCAAATGTTGTTCTCCTTAGGATCTGGGTAGTTTCTGCAAGTACTAATTGGTAAAAATATGTATTGTACTAAGTACTTATATTAAAGAAAAAAATTTAAAGTATAGATTTGGAATTTCAACAAACTTTATTGTGCAGAGGCCACTTACACCTAAGTCCAACAGATGTTCCTATATCAGAGGTCCAAAAAGCAAAACCTGGGAAGTTTTTTTGAAAAATCAAAGCCCTCCCACAACTATCACTTCTCTGGAATAGTGGCAAGGTGAATTCCTGAAGTCATTTTTGTGTAACCTGTTAAAGTGAGCATTGCTACTTCAACCCTCAGGAAGGTGTGTCGGCATCTTACTGGGAAGTAGAATATAAACCTCTATTGGGGTTCTCTTTTGTTATTTTATATGTCTGAGAATTCTGGAGTCTTTGTTTTGCTGCTCTCCGTTTCAGGTTCTTCACTGGAAACTACTGGGTTAAGGTTTTAGTTGCTCATTTGGTAATCTTGCTTGAGTGATTTCTTGGTGACCAAAATTAGTAGCAGAAAGAAGAGTGATAGGGTTGCTTGCAGGTACATTTGTTAGCTGCTGGAGGAACGTGCCTGGAGGAAGTGTCCACACCACCTCCGTGGCCACACCCTACCCTGGGGTGTGGGAAGAGCAGAAGGGCTATTGGGCTGATCTTCAGCATTACACAATATAGACATTTTTCCCCAGGAACTAAAAAGAAAATTACAGATTGTAAATGTTGTCAGCTTGCTGACATCTGTCTGTTGCAATTTTCCTACAACTTTTGAGCTTAAAAGAGCAGGCCAACTCACATTGAGTTACATGACTTAAAACATACAGCATTCAGTCATAATAATGTGAATATTATTGGAGCAATATTTTTTCTTTCTTCTGCTTTCCTAGGAAGCATAGTGAAGAGAATGGCTTGTTATCTCCTCATTTGGCAGATATTTCTTCTCGTGCATTTTTTGGATTGTTTTTGCCAGAGAACTTACTTAGAAAAAAGAAATCTCTGTAATTGAGGGCTTTATGAAGACATTCAGCCTCAGCTGGTGGCAGAAGTGTCTGTCTGTGCTTCTCTTGTAAAAGGAGAAGGTGTCTGAAATGTGCAGGGCCTCGTTTGTTTCTACAAGCTGAAGAGACAATATTTCCTGAACTATGAATATAATAAGAAGCTTCTGGTCACACTTACTTAGGGTTTTGAAGGTTTCCGTGGTCTAATTTCACAACATTATGTTAAGATTCCTTTTCTCCTGCTCTTTTCCTCACTTCATTGTTGGTGGCTCTGGGAAAGCAAGACAGAATTTTCTATCAGAAACGGAGTCATTTTCATTTATTGAGATGTAAAGAGTATTTATAGCCAAACAATTAGTGAGGAGAGAGTAAATTACATCCTGAAAGATGAACTATTAAAAAGGAAAGCCTTGGAAGCCTCTCCCCTGCCTTAGCTCGGGAATCTCTGAGGTGTGCCGGCCCTGGAGAGTGCAGAATGCTGTGGGCTCCACCCTTTGGCTCCTAAGGCAGGATCTCTTTCTGTTCAATGACAAAACTATAAATGGGACTTCCAGACAGAGCTGAGGGGGGCAGCCTAGGCTCCCACCCACATAGGAGAGGGGAGCCACAGTTCTAGCCATTCTAAACACCAGAACTGGAAGATCTGCCTAGGTCTGTCTTGTTTGGTGTTTCTCACAAAGAAAGCTGTCCCTCTCCTAGTAGGTCCTCTCCCCCGCAATCCAGTCTTTTCCATAATAATATTTGTTATGAAGGTTATTGGGTAATTATTGCAATTTTGTGAAGCAGTCCTTGCTGGAGGTGAAGTCTGTCATCGCCTAACAAATGACGCCCGCGCAGTTCACTGCCGGGTTAAGTAAATGCAGAGAAGATAAATCTGCACACCCTAGGAATCGCCAGCAGAGCACGCTTTAGTACAAGTTCACAGTCAACTCGCCTGCCTGGGCCAGCTCTTCCAACAATTAGGGCTGCATCTTTATTTTTAAATAAAGAAAAAACGTCTCCAA